AAAACCAAAAAGGAAGAACATGCTCAGCATTTCTAAGCTGGGGGAACTGAAGAAAAAATTCAAGCCTCAACTTTCATTATTGAAAGATTCACTGGGCATATTATTGAATGATGCAGAAAGCATCAAGAGAAGATGGACATCAGGGCAGGTGGTCAGGTCCTCTCAACACAGGCCCCCTTCCAAGACTGAGACTCAGTGGAAATGCACGCTCTGATTGGGGATCACACGCATCACCGATGGGGAGAAGTGGGGTAAAGGCAGCAATGAAGCAGAGATCTAAGCCTTATAATATTTAGTGGGCTTCTGTGGACCTGGTTGGGGACCTGGTTGGCAAGCAGTGTGAGGAGACCTGAGGACTCCTGGGCCCAGAGTAAGTGACGTGGCCACGGAGGACTCAAGTGGAAAATGGAGCTGCCGGCTGATGGGAAGAGAGGGCATGTGCACAAGAACACCCACACGGGCAGATGGTACCCACGTGACCGGGACCAGATGACTGGATGATCAGAGCTCAACCAGGAGAAGAAAGAAGGGGAGGGGGGGAGATTGAGCTGATACAATCTGATGAACTTGACCTATACCTAAGAATGCAGTGACTCAAAAGAGACAACAAATCCTTATAGCAAGAAACATTCCCACCCCCTCCACACACAGAGTAGACAGAGATGGGCAACTTGGACATTGGATACCCAAATGGGGAGGGGGGGGGACTACAAAGGCAAGAAGTGACTGGCTTACAAGCTTTCAAGAGGGAACCTAGAGCTAGGGGGCATGGAGGAAGGCAGAATCACTATGTGATTCTGTGAGTACTATCCAATCTGTCTAGGCGGAGCTGATGAAATGAAATACAGATGGGTAACTCGTGATTCTGTAGTGAATGGTTATCAAGACTGATTGTGAGGGTTGGAAATGCAAAGGTAGACGTTTTATAGCAAGGAAGGGAGTGATTATTTCTCCAATCTAGGAGCAGAGGTCTCTGGGACAATCAATGGAGAAGAGCCGAGAGCGGGACCTTACCCAGGGAAGCTAGAGTGATGAAGCGGCTGGGGACTTTGGATCCAGAGAGGGAGAAGGACTATGGGCCAAAGACTTGGGGGGGAGGGTGGAGAGGGTAAGTGTAGAGGACAGGTTTCAAAAAATAAATAAATAATAAGGTGGAAAGGTGGATACTCACACAGTCTCAACTACATGTCATATATTATTTACTACAGACAAAAGGGAAAATAGTTGTATAATGTAGAGATCTGGCACTCACCGCTATAAGCAAGTGATTAACTTCAGGCCAATCAGGCAGCCCCTGACTTGATGCAGTAGAACTATGTGACATCACTTCCAGCCACATTATCACCAGAAAAAATGAGAAAATGATCAGAGATATCAAAACGTGGGGCATTCCTAAAATAGTTGATTTGGACTGTTCAAAAAACAGGGCTTTGAGCTGGTTAATTCATTAAACCATCTGCTAAGAATCTGATTTTCCACCCCAGATACTGAATCCCTTGGTGACCTTTATTATCTTGTTACAATGTAAAATGTGGATTCTAATTCCTATATGGGGTGGAAATGCCAACTCTCAGCAGGGGGTCAAACCAGATCAAAGCTGTATTTAAAAGTTGCTGACATGACATATATAAAAACAAAGTCCTGGGAGCAGTTTTAGCTTTAAAGAAATTTCAGTATGATCTTTGTTTGGATCCTAGATTTAAAATAGAAAAAGCTTGTAAAGAAGTTTGGGGAACAGATAGGGAAAATTGAATATGACCTGTATTTTGGAAATTCTTAAAGTATTTTAAATTTTCTTAGGTATGATAATAGTGTTGTAGTTAGGAGGGAGAATGACATTTTTACCAGATGCTTTCTTAATGGTGAGGTCAAATTGTCTGTATACCTATTTTCAAATGACTCTGGTAGCGTATTGGTTATGAATCGGGCTGCTCTGTGGGAGAAAGATGAGGCTTTCTGCTCCCGTAAAGATTTACAGCCTCGGAAACCCTGTTCAGGGTTGCTGTGGGTCGGAACCGACTCGACGGCACATAACAACAACAGTACAAAACAGGCACAGCAAATGTAGCAAAATATTTACTGTTGAAACTGAAGGATATGCAGGTGTCATTTGCAGTATTCTTTTACTTTTTAAGTTTTTAAGTTTTCAAATTAAAAGGTAGATTCTTAAAACTTTATTTTCAAAATGTGAGCATCAGAAGGGTCTTTGTTGTTAAGTGTTAATGAGACTGTTCACAGCAACCCGATATAGAGCTTCCTAGGAAAGGCTGATTTTTAGAGATCATCCAATTCAACCCCTTATTTTACAAATGGGGAAACTAAGGCCCAAGGAGAGCAAGAGACTTGTTCAAGGGTACACAGTTGGTTATGGAGCTAACATTCTTGTTAGCTAGTTTTCCTATTGCTGTCATCCATAGCAGAAAGCAGGGGTGCAGAAGGACACGGGTAAGGATTTGTGAGGAGTCAAGGTAGAAAAAGGATACCCCTCCACTGTTTCAGGTTGTGGGTCATACATAGCTGCAGTCTAAGAGATGGTCTTGATCTGCAATCCAGGCAAGTGCAAGAGATCCAGTTTAACTTCTTTTTCTTTAAATTCTCTCTCTTCTTTTCTTCCACTCACCCAAGTTCCCTGGTGACGCTGATGCTGCCAGTCTAGAGACCACACCCAGAGAGCCACAGTCACAGAACCACCCCAGGAAACAGACAGTTCTTGGTGTTACCATCCTAAAGATAAGAAAAACTGGTAGGCAAGGCCCTTTGAGGTAGACTAGGCCCCTCACCAGAAGCTACATCACCAGTGACTCAGCAAGGATGTCAGGCTCCAAAGAGCAGGCTGTTTTTACTACACCTGAGTTACGGATTATGTTTAATAACCCTAGGCATTCCCTTTACATGTCTGTTCACTTTATTTTTAAATTTCTGTTCCTGAAAGGCAAAGTCAAGATTCTGTGTGTAAATATATAATGCTTTTCATTTTCAGTGAGAACAGTTGTTTGTAAAATTCATTTTAAATGTTCCTGTTCACCTGTCCAATAACTCCTTTTCTAGAAATTTATCCTATGAGACCAATCTAAAATATGGCCCAAAATACAAAGATGTTCAATAAGTATTTTAGCAAAAAACAGGGAACCTAAATATCCACGATTCCAGGATTAGTTAAATAAATTATTGTCTAGTCAAATGATGGAATATTATGAAGGCATTACAAATTTTATTTAGAATTTTTAACATGACAGTGTTTATGACATAATGCTAAACACAACAGGACAGAGAACTAAGTTCAGTTAGTTCTCAATGTTATAAATATTGTTAGTTACCCTTGAGTTGATCCAGATTTCCGGCAGCCCCTGTGTGCAGAGTAGAGCTGCTCCACAGGGTTTTGAAGGCTGGGACCTTTTGGAAGCTGATGGCCACGCCTGTGTTCTGAGGTACTTCTGGGTGTTTCAACTCCCAACTTTTCAGCTAATAGTCAAATGCTTAATCACTTGTACCACAAGAAGAACACCGACAACAGTTGCCACGGCTTCTAATAATTTTCGGTACTTCCCATAATAAGCATATAAAGTTTTCTTAAATCAGAAAGACCATGCACGTTTTTTGTTGACTAACTACAACAGATTACATTTTCCCCCAGCCCCAGATTGAGCAATGTTAAAAGAACAAATTCCAAGGACAATCACTATTATAAACACAACAGACCAAAAAGACACTTGTAAAAATGACAACTGGGATAAGTTTTAGTTGGTGGAATTCTAAAGTTTTTAAATCTCTGTTTAGCTCAATTTTTATTATATTTGCTACAATGAATACTTATTGCTTCCGCAATAAAACTTCTGTTATTCTTTTTAAGAGAAAACCACCAAGCAAACTACAGTACATCTACACAATGGAATATCAATAACCCCTAAAAATAATGTTGTAGAAAAGTTATTTTACAGCATGAAAAAGTTTGATATAGTATTAGCTGAACATACTATAAAACAGTATGCCCAGAATGATCCCATTGTTTTGTTTAGAAACAAACATTCTACGTATACATAGAAAACACCTTGGAAGGAAATATACTGAAGTAGAAGAGTGTTTGACTCCAGGTGGCTGGATTAGATTATCCTCATTTTCTTGTTTTTATATTTTGGTAACATTTCCTCTATTGATCATAAACTGTTTTTTCAATGAGTTAAAAGAAATTTTAAAAAGTAAATCTATACTGATGCAAAAAAGTGACCTTGTTAAATAAGAGACCAAAGAGACACAGCAGGAGTAGCTCACAGAGAGATCCTGTTAAAAGGGCTTCCCAGCTTCACCCCAAGTTGATTCTGAGTCATGAGCACAGCCAGCATCGATCCTTCCTACTACTCTAGACTTAGTATCTTTGAGCAGGATGTCAACACCAAGAGCAGAGGTCACTCCTCTTGATGGGGTAAACTGACATCATCTGGAATCTTTAAACAAGACCCTGGTAGAGAGAGATCTATTATTGCCACTGAGTCAACTCCAATTCACAGGGACTCTAATACAGACAGGGTAGCTCTGCCCATAGCGTTTCCAAGGCTGACATCTCCATGGAGCAGAGTGTCACATCTTTCTCCCGCAGAGTGGATTCAAACAGCCAACTTTGTAGTTAGCAGTTGAGCACTTTAACCACTGTACCACCAGGGTTCCTTAAACAGGGTATGGGGGGAAATTAAGTGCTTTCTAGGGCTATGGATCTGATTATACTTCAGTATGATTTGTGATCATTTGATTAAGGAAATATACTATTTATACTTCAAATGAAACACTAACTAGAATTATACCCAAAGACCTGTCAGAGATCTCTGAGATCATCTGCAGACAATTTACAGTACACTGTGTTAAGGATGCTGTGTAAATATTGACTGGAGACAATAACAGAGATGTCATGCTAGTGATTCTTAAGTAAATAGTTTAAATGTCTGGCTTCCTGTTTACACAATTTTAAAATCTCTTTTTATGGCTAGCCATAAGGTGATTCAGCATTCTGATTTAATCTAAGAATTTACTGACTTTATACATAATAACAGAGACTACAAAGAACACCTGAAAAGCCAGAAGACACAGGAAGGAACAAAAATAAACACAGAGATGTATACAGAGAGATGTATGCAACTAGACTATCAGCTCAATCTATTTCCAGATCACTATCCTCACTGTGACAGGCAGCAGAATGACGCACAGATGTCAGCACCAAGACTTCCTTTTCTGGAAGTAATCCAAATTCCTGTAGAAAAGCTTCAAGGTCCACAGCAAAGAAATCTTCCCCCAGCTGGTCAGTGACACGAACAAAATTGCCAATCAATTCACCCCCCTTGTAGATCAGCAAGGCAGGCAGGGCATTCCTGGTGAACCGACTGCTGGCCCCAATAACTGAACTCTTTACTCGGCAGAATTTGACTGCTGGGTACTCCGCTGCGAGGCAGATCATGCACCCATTCATGGCTTCGGTCCCCAGAATACCATCCTCATAAATATGGACCATGATGAGGGTGCTTTTCTGTTCTTTATCAATCATGTCTAAAAACCCTTCTCCGCTGGGGATCTCAAAAACCTGCTTGAATTGAGGCCCCCTGTGAAGCTGCTGCCGCATCTCTTCCATTCTCTGTTTCCGGTACTGCTGTAGAAACTCTTCATCATCTTGGTCCTCATTCATCATGGCAAACTCCTTAAGAGTCATCTGCAGGACGAGCAAGTGAGCAGAAGAGTCAAAGAACAGAACACTGTAGAACAGTTAACATGCTGTGTGCTTCTATACGAGAGTGCTTCAAAAAGTTTATGGAAAAATTACACTACCTTTAATTCCACTTTTCATGAACTTTCTGAAGCTCCTTGTATATGAGGAACCATTCTAAGTGCTTTATTTGCATAAATGATTGAATTCTTATGATAATTACATTATGAAAACACCTGTTTTTGACCCAATTTTACAACTGAGGTTGTAAAACTTGTCATTATTTGTACAAGTTCATTATATTTAAGATGAGGATTTTTAAAAAAAATCCAGGCTTTTAACTACTACATCATATTCCTTCATAATGCAAATGTTGTTAAGTGCTGATGAATCGTTTAGACTCACAGCGACCCTGTATAGGGTTTCTAAGGAGTAACTAGTGGGTTTGAACCACAGACCTTGTGGACAGCAGTCCAGTGCCTATCGAACAGCAACACACCAGGAATCCAAATAGGTAATAGCAAATAAAGTCATTGTATGAGTTTTTTTCTTTTTGTAATTGTAACAATGAGTTAATTATTTTATCTACTTTTCAATTCTCGAAAAGACAGGACACTGAGGGTCTTCACCCCCACACAAGCACAAAACACAGTCACACACACTCTACAAACCTCTTTTTGATTTACTGCCAGTCACATGCAGTTTTGTTTTTAAGCAAGATTGCAAGGTGTATGCCAATTAAGTTGTAAACTACTTTTGCTACTTACCTTTATTATACATATTTCCTATTTCTTTTTTTAAATTCAAAGTGCCATACTTTGAGTATCATACCCCGACATCTAAAATTTACATAGTTTCCAGTTTAATTCTACTACAGGTAACTCAGCAGACAGGGACAGCCTTTCTCAAGAATGACCTATGTTATCTGTTGCTTTGTTCTGGTCTGTAACCTCAGTATAAGGAAGCAGCTGTTAGCAGTGGGTACACTGCCCTGCAACTAGTTTATGATACAGAACCTTCTTCCCAATCCTAGCCTGGCACAGTAAAAGACTGATGGGTCGGGGAATAGGGAGACTGGAACACAAAACATGTCGTTACTGTATTATAACTAGCACCATTCTGATTTACAGGTTTACTTATCATTCCCAGTTTTCTCCGTCTCCTAGCTCTCAATTCTACTGTTGTCTACCTGAGTGTCTCTTTTACAATCTTCAAGTTGAAATCCCTGAAACCACCCCACCTCACCCCCACTAACTTATCACGTAAGTCTTTCATTAGGTATTTAATTCTCACTTAATCCTCTAATCCTGACTGGATTTTCAACCAACAGCTGCATGTGCCATGTGATAGTTAAGGCTTTGTGACAACTTGGCCTGGCTTCTCTGTGGTTTGGCAGTTGTTGTTGTTGTTGTTGTTAGGTGCCATCGAGTTTGTACCAACTCATTGCAACTTTATGCACAGCAGAACGAAACACTGCCCGATCCTGGGCCAACCTCACAACTGTTGCCATGCTTGAGTCCATAGAGGCTGCCACTTGGCCAATCTATCTCGTTGAGGATCTTCCTCTTTTCGTCTGACCTTCCACCTTACCAAACATGATATCCTTCTCTAGCAACTGCTCCCTCCTGACAATATGTCTAAAGTACGAGAGACGAAGTTTGAGGATCTTGGCCTCTAAGGAGCACTCTGGCTGCACTTCTTCCAAAACGGATCTATTGGTTCTTTTGGCAGCCCATGGCACTTTCCATATTCTCCTCCAACACTGTAACTCAAAAGCATCAATTCTTCTATGGTCTTCCTTATTCACTGTGCAGCTTTCGCATGCATATGAGGTTATCGAAAATACCATGGCTTGGGTCAGGTGCACCTTAGTCCTCAAGCTGACATCTTTGCTCTTCAACACTTAAAAAAGGTCTTGTGCAGCACATTTGCCTAATGCAATACATTTTTTGATTTCTTGACTGCTGCTTCCATGAGTGTTGAAAGTTGATTCAAGAAGAATGAAGTCCTTGACAACTTCAATCTTTTCTCCATTGATAAGAATGTTGTTTATTGGTCCAGTGGTGAGGATTTTTGTTTTCTTTACATTGAGATGTAATCCATACTGAAGGCTGTGCTCTTTGATCTTCATCAGTAAATGTTTAAAGTCCTCTTTACTTTGAGCAAGCAAGGTTGTATCATCTGCATATTGCAGGTTGTTAATGAGTCTTTCTCCAATCCTGATGCCACGGTTTTTCTTCATATAACCCAGCTTCTCGGATGATTTGCTCAGCATACGGGTTGAATAAGTATGGTGAAAGAATACAATCTTGTCGCACACCTTTCCTAATTTTAAAACATTCAACGTTCCCATGTTTTGTTCAAACAACTGCCTCTTGGTCCAGGTACAGATTCCTCATGAGCACAATTAAGTGTTCTGGAATACTCAAAGTTGTCCATAGCTTGTCATGATCCACACATTCGAAAGCCTTTGTGTAGTCAATAAAGCACAGGTAAACATCTTTCTGACATTCTCTGCTTTCAGCCACGATCCATCGGATATCAGCAATGATATCACTTGTTCCACGGCCTCTTCTGAATTTGGCTTGAACATCTGGAAGTTCTCTGTCAGTGTATGCTTGCAGCTATTTCTGTAGTACCTTTAGTAAAACTTTACTCGCATGGGATATCAAAGAGATTGTCCGATGATTTTCGCATTCTGTTGGGTCACCTCTCTTTGGAATGGGCACAAAT